TTTGGGCACACAACACTCTGACTATAAAAACAGATTGTACATAAAATATTTAAAGTGTGCTGAAAGACATCAAATGCTGACCTTATTTTAAATACTTTAAAATAGGGTACTTATTACTTATTATTATTGAGGTGCAATATTGTAATGTATTTTGGGATACTTATACTCAGACTATAAAAGTAACAATTGCACAAAGTTAATTTTTAAGCCTTCATCGTGTCACGAACTCATAAATGACTCAAAACAAGCTGTCATATTGTGGACCGGATTCTTCTCTCAAAAGCTCGAGGCGGAGCCAAAAATTAAATCTCCCAGCAAATCAAAACGAAATTGAAAAAAGAGAAGAAAATTAGGAATAGATTTTAGCTTTGACTGACAACACGTAACTGTGACAGTGTGCCGATAAAGGATCAATCCGTTCCTCAATGTTCATTACCTGCAAGCTCTCTGCGAAAATCTCCGCCTAGATTTTAGCCGTGATTCAATTAATGCAGCTACGGGACATTCCATAAGTTTTTTTAAAAGAAAATTCTTAAAACCACATTTTAATTTTCATGTAGAAATTTTTCGCAAACAGCCGAAGCCGCGGGCCGAGAACCGGATGCACGCGGTCAATTGAGATTTGTCTAAAATAAGTCCTTGAAATTTCATAATAATTAAAACAAACTATCGAAGCTAAGATCTCACCTCGTATATATTGCACTAAGAAACAACGCTCAGATCTGAATAAACTCCGACATATGGTTATCTTTCTCTCATAGACTATTCCGCACATGCATGGCATATTATTTTTGAGATGTCACGCGCGACTGAAATCACGACTTCGCGCCGCGGTGATGTGACAAATGCACGTGATAAGCAAACCGTCCTTTGTCCTTTGCTCATTTCAAATTATTGAACCGGCGGTTGCTCCCGGACGGTTGCTGTGAGCTTAAATGCGCTTGATTTTACTGTTTGTTACGATCTTACAAAAGTACACTCCAACTCTGCGGATTGTCGAAACACGTAGATGTTGCTTTTGTCACGAATCAAAAATGGTTATGACTCCTCAGCGACTGTTATGTACTTTGAAAGGTTCTGGTTCAGGAGAAGAGTCCAACAGTCTAATTGTAAGTATTAAATATACAATGTTACTAAGACGCTTAGATATACGCCATATGAGAAACAAATGAAGGGTAGTAAACATTTATATAGTCGCGCCCGTACGGCAATTTTACTTTTTACAGGATTCCTTGCAGAGACTCGCTGTTTTGTATAAATGATCTCAGTCACTTGATGTCACGTCACCGGCCTCTTTCATCCTCGCGTAAATTTATTCGTATGCTGTTCTTTATCAGCCACTAATTAATGTTCAGGCGTAGCCTGCATTAAGCTTCTGATGATATTTGAGTAAAGCCGTGAATATAATAAACAATGTAAGTTACATGCATGTAGATTAATATTTACAGATATTTACCGGTAACGTCAGTAACGTTATACCCTTTTGAAGCCAAAGGTTGATAGCCTGTGTACATACCCCCCCACCCCTCCCCTCCGAGTTTTATTGAGGGAAGGGGTCTGTACACAGGCTAAAGATTGATTTGAGCATTTCTGAAAAATTCCATAAGAATTTCCCGAGAATTCTTAGGGAAATCAACGTAAAGTAATCGGCTAAGAGATAATTCTCTTGAAGTCCTAGCCTAGGACTGTGTGGAGAAATTTCGCCGAGGTAAATCTTGCTTTTTCAGGGTAATTTTCGACGGTTTTGTATTCATTTTATTTCATGAATTTAAATGGTATTTCCATCCTGTTTTTGTACTATTTTTATGCTCTTTCGACCGATTTTTATACTGTTTTCAGACAACTCTAAGGCTATGTTCTTACAATTTTATACTGTTTTTGCATTTTTGCATCCTATTTTTGATGTATTTAATTCATAATATATGTGTGCTATTGCTTTTCTTCTTCTGTGGTATTTTAATACTGTTTTCAAAGTATTTTTATTGTATTTGCAAATACGAGTATTTTACTAAATTTCGAAACCGATTAAACAGCTATTAAAATATATTTTGAAGCATAACATTTTAATAGCGTTTTAAACAGGTTAAAACACCTTTAAAATCAGTCGAAAAATATATCAAAAATATATTTTTGTACCTATTTTAAACCTGTTTTTTTCAAAATACGTTTAAAATTGCCATTAAAAATAGTTTTAAAATAGTATAGTAAATTAAAATATGTTTTTGAAACTGTTTTTATCCTGTTTTTATTCCGATTTATAAGGTATTTAAAAACTGTTTTTGAGCTGTTTTGAGCCTTGCAAAAGCCCTGGAATTTTTTATATATTTTAAAAGCATTTTAAAATACTTTAAAAATTCTTTTTTAATAGCGTTTTAAACAGGTTAAAACACCTTTAAAAGCAGTCGAAAAATACATTAAAAATACACTTTTTACCCTATTTAAAACCTATTTCACAAAACAGGTTAAAAACAGTTTTCAAAAATAGCTTAAAAATACATTC